GGAATTACACTGCCCTGATGTTAACGTGCACATGGCCTCAGATGGCTCTGCTATTACTAAATTCCAATGATAATTCTGGTGATAATTGTTCCCTTTATTTCTAAACTGAATTGTTGTAATTCATTATAGTCTTGTCTAACAGGTCAAATTACTGGAAAACTAAAGCAGATACAAAATGAGTTACTGATAGTGCTCTTCTTTGGAGCCTCAGTTGTTTGATCAGTCATTTTACATTATTATATATTTTTATTGGTTGCTGGTCACATTACACTTTGATTTTTAGATTATTTTAACTTCCACAGTTCCTGGTCTAGGCTGCTGTGAACTGACCATTCTTTATGTAGTTTTCTGACAAATATCACAGCAAACAGATCCAGAAATGCTGTTTTGTGAGTCCTTGTTCCTGTAAGTCCCTCCCACTTCCCAGAGGTGTTCTTCAGTCTCAGCTGAAGGAGTTTGTGTGTAGAGTAAGAATTAGTCATTAAAGCATGATAGGAGTACACAAATGCTCATTAAAGCTCTGTGCTGTTGGTGGCTGTGTATAAATTTAACATCATACAGTTACAATCCCCCCAGAGCACCTCAACAAATGCTCAAGCTCCAGAGAAATCCGAGTATGTGCTGACAAACTTTGAATCGGGGCTGTGGAACACAATCTGCCTAATTTGCACCAACCATTCATAGTGTGAGAGCTCTGAAATACCAAGCAAGTGAACACCCAGGCAAAGGTTGTGGTTTCCAAGATGTCTTGCTAATTGCTCTGGCTGTGATTTAATGTTATTTATTTATTACACTCCATTATTTTCTCTAGCTCAGTTAGCTCACAACAAAACCCTGAAATATTGGAGTTCAAATCCATCGTCCTAGCACCATGATATTAAATCTTTTCTAAGAGAAATTTTATTTTAATTATAAGCTTTGTACTAAGGCTTCATTAGTTTCTATTACAGAGCTAATTGCAGGTCTCTTTTCCTTATTTAATTTTTTTTAGCAACAGAAGTTCTTAAACCAATGCTTATTCTACTATGAGGATAAATTCTGCAGTAATTATACAGAAGGCAATGGATGAATTGGACTAGATTTACAAATTTTCATGCTAAACAGTTGCAGGACAATTCCGCTTAGGTTGAAAAGAGTATGTTTAAAGAATTAATTTAATTTATTATTTAAATTCAGAATTTAAGGAATTCTGAAAAGAGAGGAATGCCAGCTTTCATGCTGGATTTGGTATCAAGAAAATATAGACACAAATTTGTAGAATTGAATTTTCACTTGAGCTCAGGGAAATGTGGACTGGGATGTTTGGGGTGAGGGAGTTTGTCTTTGTTGTGATTTTTTCCAAACATGCAGTGCTTTTGTTTTTAGGTTTTTGGGTTGCTCTCAAAACAATCTAAGCAAAATACTTGGTTTTGGAGATTTCCAAACTTAGATAAGTTGCAATTCTTTAGAACATTCCATATATGCTGAGTGTTCTTTCAAATGTTATTGTTCTTTCCAAGATTGATTTATTTGCCAGTGCAATTTTTTTACTGGGGATGCAGAGACAAATTTGAATTCCAAAATAACTTGTAATTTGGGCCAGTTGTGGGTTTCTGGTGGAGGTCTGTCTATTTGTGTTCATTAGTGGCATTCAGTTCCCACAGCTCTGTTTCATGCTAGACTTGACAAGCAATTCAAAGACTTTTTAATTTATAAAGCATCCTCTTAGGTGTTTAGACCTGGAAATGCAGAAATCAGTGCATGGGATGGTTTTGGAGGCTTATTCCAAGTCACATTTCAAGTTTGTGGCAGCACTGGGTTTGCAGAATGAGCTTATGAATCTCCAAGTGAAATCTGGATTAGCGAGATCTACCCAGCCCAAGAAGAAAATGTTTGCACAAACATCTTTTAAGGGAAACTGATGACTTTCACAAGATCTTAAATAGATTGTACTGAATTAATTATCCCAGTCCTGTAGTTAACTACACACGAGACTGTAACTGGGACCCAGCAAGCTAAAAAGGAGCCTCCATCCTTCCTGAGCCAGCAGGAGCTGAGCCAAGCTGGGCTCGGCTGAAAGCCTTTCTTTGTGGATCTTGCTGGCTCTCAGTGTGAAAGGTGGATGGAGGCTAAAAATGGCTCAGGAGCATGGCTGGTGTATGCAGGGAATAGCAATGAGAACGGAGTGAAATCAGAGACTGAGCCCTGGACATTGTGGAAAGCATCCAAGGGGGTGGAAATGCACAAGCGAACAGGTTATGTGTGGCTGCTGCACGGGGAAATGGCAGAAGGGAGCAAAAGGGAGGGGGGAGGGGAAAAAAAACAACAAAACAAACCACAAAACCAAAGGACAAGTGAAAGGGAGATGCTCTAAGAGACACGAAGGGATTATCAGGGTAATGTTCTTCCCCCCGAGGGCGGTGGGTACTGAACAGGGGCACTGAACAGGTACTCGGGAGTGGGCACGGCCCCAAGGCCGTTTGCATTTGAGCAAACGCTGCCAGGGACGCACAGGGTGGGATTTTGTGGTGTCTGTGCAGGGCCGGGAGCTGGATCGATGATCCCGGTGGGTCCCTTCCAATTCCGGATATTCGGCTTCATGAAGGGCGAGCCTGCGGGAGAGGGGTCAAGGAAGGAAGCTCTTCCTGCGGGGGAGTCCGGG